TTGTTCATCCCACTTTGGGCAGAAGAGTTCCTGAGAGGTCAACAGCCTCTAATAAAGTTGGCTCCACTAGGGATGGCTTTGACTATTAGATACTTATTTATTCACATCATGTTAAAGTCTCTTCCCCTGCAGTATCTATCCATTTTACGAATTCCTTTCCTCATGGGTTCTTTCTCTAGGTGGTGGGCTGCAATGCTGAACAGTGTAAGCGACCTTATGCTAACAGAGTAGTGCTATTTCCATTGCCCATAGCTTTGGGTTAACAACACGCTCGTGGTAGGAGCTAACATGCAATCGCACATGTGAAAAGCTCCTAAAGGAAACGATCTGTGATACCGGGCATGGAGCTGATGAACATACTTGGGACACTCCATTATTCCAGTTTGGCCCTACTGTGACACCCATGGTCCAACTCAGACAAATGGGGTGTGCTATGGTTTAGATCTTGAATGTCCCCCCAAAGTCCCCGTGTTAAAGCCTTGTTCACCAGTATGGGCCTTTGGGGAGGTGATGGCACCCTTAGGAAGTGGTATCTGTGCAAGGCTCCTGGGTCACTGGCGTTGTGTCCTGGAAGGAGAGTGTGGCACTCTGGCTGCTCCTCCTCCTCTGCTGTTCAATGGCTATGGTGTGAGTGGCACGGCTCTGCTCTGTGCTCCTGCCGGGCTGCACTTCCTCACCACAGGCCAAGAACAGGGAGGTCAATTGGCAGTAGGTGACCCTCCAGAACTGTGGGCTCAAACAACCTTTCCTAAGTTGTCTCAGGTATTTCGTTAAGTGACAGAGAGCCGGCTAACATGAGGAGCAATGTGTCAGAGTCGGGGACCTTTCATTCTTGTGGCTCTCAGGTGCAGGGCCGGGGCTTGGAAATACCCGAGTCTCCTTTCTGTCCTTGTGTTGAGCTCAGAAGGGCACCTGGCCTGGGATGCACCTCATGCCAGTCACCCCAGAAGATGTGTGCACTGGGTGAGGGCAGCCATCTGTGTGGGGTCTCTGAGTGCGGCGGGAGTTTGCCAGCTGCTGGGGACCAACACACTTGGAAGCCCAGAGACAGGAAAGAGCCTCCGTGTCCGGGGAGGAAGTCCTTGTTGTGGCTGGTGCTCAGCGGGGGTGGGAAGAGCTAGGTGTGAGGTGGAGAAGGTGGGCAGAGGCTCTATTAGGAGAGACCTTGATGCCCTGTTGGGGTACCTTCCCCCATGGTACTAGGCAAGAGAAGGCTGTCACTGAGGGCTCTTTGTGCAGGGCCTGCTCCAGAATCAAAGGACTGGTAGGCTGGTTTGTTCAGCGAGCTTTGCCATGGCAGGCTGCAGGAGTCCAGACTGGATCTGCTGTGTGGTTTATGATGGGAGCTGCCACTGCATGAGTAGGGAACTCTAGCAGGCTGAAGAGTGAAAACACTAACCTCGTGGCACATGTCTCACATCTTTCCTTGGCTCTTTTTCTGAATAACATGGCCTAAGAAGAGTCTCAGACCTGAACTAGTGTTTCAGGGAGCCAGGCTGGAGGTGCCTCAGAACTCCTGCTGGCCTCTGCTCAGGAGTGAAGTGTGCTGGATCCGGCCCTCCTAGCCCAGGCATTGCTGTACAGTTTAGTTTCAAACTCACTTTGGGGATACTCAACAATTAGTCTAATTACAGCCCCCTTTGTCCCTAACCTAGCAACAAGCTCACAAAGCTTTTCCACAAACAATACCACAATCACAGCCCCACGACACCAGTCACTGAGTTACTAATTTCTAGCTTAACATAAAACAAATGCCTTTGTGAAATGGTTAAAGAATTGCAAGAATATTTATTTTGAGTGACTAAACTATACACTTCCTGTGCAGTGTTCAGGAAAATTGGTCTTCATTATTCCAGGGAAACGTCAAGATCACTAAGAGTTGTAACATAGTGACCTGTGCTATGTGGAAACAGTCTCCACATGTTTCTCATAAAAATACACATCAGAGATGGCTTCAAACTGGATGTCAAACTTAGTTAAAGGCACAAAACTCCTCAGAATTATTTTGTGTGTTGAATATAACAATCAAATGCACATCAGTATGTGCCATGTTGCTCCCTGGGGCTGTCTCACGTTGTGGGTTTAGTGACTTTCTGGATATCCACCTAAGTGACAGAGATACCTGCTTCTGTGCTGGTCACCATGACCCCTGCCAGCTGCCAGGGTGGGCTTCAGAGAAACTCCACAAATTCTTCTAAATATTTAACACTTGAACAAAAAGTTTTTATTTAAAAAAAATTATGTTCCTCATCTTGCTTGACCCGCATAATGGTTACCTGGGTGTATGTCTGTGTAGAAATGTTGCCAAACTTTACATTTCTCTTCATGTAAATTATAGTCCAATTACATGTGAAGGATGTTTTCATAGTCTGTTACATCAGTAGAACAATTTTAAAAGTTGACAATGGAGATAGGTTTCATGGGCCACTGTTTAGTTGCTTAAAGATGGTTCCATGATCTACTTATCCTTCAGCTCAGGGTTCTGGGGCTGATTTGTTAGCTTTTCTGTAGGATCCTAAGAAAATTAAGAGTCTGTATGGTAAAGTGCCAACTCCTCTTGCTTTTCTCAACTGGGGATAAGGATGGGAGGGTGGATCCTAAGCCCCTGCAGAACTAGACTGCTCTGTTTCACAAGTATGAACTGTTTTGTGGCTCTTGCAGTTTTTTAAATACAAGTCTTACTTGTATTTTCCTGGAGCAGTTATTCTAATTTTTAGGGTTAAACTACTGAGAACATAAAGGCTTTGATGCCCCCAAGTTCTTGATAAACATTTGCATATTTCATGGTGTACTGTTGCCTGACTTTCCCTTGTATCTGTTCCTTTTGAAAAGAGTCAAAGTATCATCCTGGTTTGGAGACAGGATGGTGTGGTATTTAAAAGCATTTGATCCTAGAGTGTACTGCCAGGGCTCAAATTCCCACTCCTGGACTGTGGGTGTGTTTCACCGGCAGAGCCTTCCCTGGTATGCTTGAGGCCCTGCCCTGGGTTTGATCCCCTACGACACAAAAACCAGGAGACAAAAACCTCTTCTCCTTCTCTGGCTAGCATATTGATAAGAAGTTGACAATGCTTCACAGAGTTCTTCTGACGATCAAGCGAGTTAATCCAGAACTTAAAAAGTTATTACGACACCATTTAGTTGATAAATAAGTTAGAAACTATTAAGACTTTTATGCCAATCAGTTACAGCAGTACATGACAAAATGTTTCCTTTCATGACTGGAACAATGAAGCTCAGATTGTGTTTAATGCTTCAGGCATCCAAAGAAGAACAACAGACTACTGTAGAGAACATCCATAGAGGAGAAAGTATCTATGCTTAGGAAATTCTTCTAATTCCATTCTTAAATATTTAATTACTTAGAACTTTTAGTACCCAATAAAAGGACAAAAGACTTTTACAAATTATCAGGCCGGGCATATCAATATTTATTGAAATACTGAAAAAAATTCCATTTTGTTGAGAAATTTCTGGCAAGAACTGACATGACAATATGTATTTCACTGATACAATAAGAAAATGTCAATGCATAACTGACTTCACACTCTAAATATTGCGTGATCTGTAATATAAATATCCAGACATGACAGATTGTCTGTTAACAAACATAGACCAACTCTAGTAAACTAAGCTAAGCCAAAAACCTTTATATTTGAGTCTGCTTGTACTAATAAGTCCTGTGATCGATAAGGCAGTTGGCTAAGTCAATGTCTGGTCACAAGCTGATTAACAATTCATATCAGAAAAATTCACTGGCCAATTTCGGGGGCCACAGGCAGCTGTCACAGTCTTGCTTGTCAGCTTCTGCCCTTGGTTTCACCGGCAGCATGAATGTGCCCATGTTGCCTAACTTGGGAATCAGGGTGTCACTCACCTGGAGGACAACATACTGGTATTTGACATTTTTTAGGATTCATTTCGGGGAGGAGTATGGAATATGTGAAGCAAGAAACAACAGATTTTAAGAATTCATGGGCTGGCAACCTTTGTGATGTTGAAGACCCTCCCAGTCACTTCTTATCTCTAAGTGGCCTCCCCCATGTGACACACAGGCCAGGAGCCTGTTGTTAGCCACTCACTGCACCTGTCCTCCCCACCTGCCGCTAGCCAGCTTGGGCTTTGACTAAGTGAAGCAGGGCTGCTGCCATTCTCGGTCAGGCTTCGGATCTGAGCTCTGATTGGTGATTCTGCATTGCCCTTTGAGCCGTGAAGATAACACAGGGGACTGAGACCTGGCACAAGTCGATGCCCAGCTTTGCCAGGGTGAGCCCTTCATGAGGGCGAGCATCAGAGGTGATGAATAATAAAATAATCTTTGTACACACTGAAGTAATAACTAATATCTTTGGTATACAACTTACAATGCTTGAAAGGAAAACCAGTAAGACTCCACCTTGTTAAATTTACTTGAAAACAGAGGAAGCTACAAGTCACATAATTTACAACTGGTATTAAATAAGCTACAGTAAGAATTATAATTATGAAGCTTTACAGACATTTAATCAAGTGGATAATTTTAATTCATTAGACCCTTCTATGTCCCTGAACTATGTTTTCCACTAACTTGAAGACATGCTATAGTAAACATATATATTTGGTTTCTTCAGTCTTGGCTATCTCTTATACAAAGGTGAAACCGAGGTACAATAAATTAGCATCATAATTGTCTACAGTTGAAACTATGATATACAATATAAATAAACTATTCAAAAAGCCAGAAACATTAATGAAAAAATTAAGGGACTAGGAGATAGTTTTTTTTTTTTTACAGTTTCTACAAGTGATTGTGCTGCCGATAATCTCAAAAAAATTAAAGTCTAAATGAGATTCCTGTTTTTGATTTTAGTGTCTCACGACATACAATAATTAAGCACTGTTACAAATTATTACGAATCAGAAAAATAACAATAAAGAAATTACTGCTTTTGCTATTTTGTAATATCACAGTCCCCCGCCCCCACTCCCAGGACCTAAAGAATGTAAACACTATATTTTTATTTGACTTTAAAGTATTAATACTTTATTTTAAACACATGTTGATCCACATCTGCACAGCTACCTTTTAGAATCATGAAATAAGGCAAGACTTTCATACCTGTGGCATTGCGTGTTTGTAATACTGACAGCATTGTTCAGAGAGCTTGTTTGCAATCCCTTGTCCTCCAATATTTGTTCTACAGCAGACTTTGGCCTATGACTTAAAGGGTCAGTATCACTCTCTTCCTTTCCCCTCTGGGAAAGATTTTAATTACACTGATATCTTTCCAGGTTACATATAAAAAAAATCAGTTTCCATATTAGGTTTAGGTGATATGCATCACGACAAGAATGAGCCTGGAGTCATTTTATCAGCTGACTTTTTTGTGTTTCCTGTCATTTTGCATAGCTTCACATGCTTCCAGTTTTATGTTCAACTACTTAGCACTGTGACTATATGACATCCCAAGAAGAGGTTTAAAGTCTTGTTTCTAAATGAATACAAACTTTTGACAAATACAAAGACAGCTATATCCTAGTAAGAAGACTTTTGGTCGGACATTCTTATGAAATTCAACAATGCCAAAGCTACGCTTCACCAACAATAGCAGAAATAAGATTTAACTTGCTTTAGTTATGAAGCATTTGCTTTAAAAATTGGTAGCCATATCCCCTAATATTAATTAATGCTTATATATGACAGAAGAGGGATACTGCCTGCTTTTTTTTCTGATCATGAACATGTGACAAAACAAACCAGAACATATTAAAAATGGCAAGCTGACATAGTAATAGACTGTTCTTATTAGCTGTTTGCAGATCTACAACATAGACATTCAGAATTTAGTGGAGCTACTACTGGGCGTGTCTGACCACAGATCCTAAGCACAGATTCTGTGGTCATGGGGCAGAAGGTGTGGGGTTCTTGAGAGGAAGAGAGAGGAGCTGTCCGGGTTCAGCTGGCGCAGTCTTCAGAAGTGTTTCAGTTCCGTTTCACCGTGGAGGAATTTTGTAAATGCAGACCCCTGATGAACAAGCCTAATTAATAATGCAGATTAGTTCCTAAATTTCTTCACAGCGGAGATCAGCTTAAATACACAAGAATCGTTCTGTCTGTTTTTATTCTGACATAGTTTTGGAATCCACCTGTGAATTCAATCCATTCCATTCCAATGTCTGTCATTACGAACCCTCTGGGGATGTGAAGCCTTCGATTCACAGTTTGCGATAGAAATACCCTGATACATCGTTTATTTGTTATTAAGTATTTGATTATTATGCTTTTTAAAATTCAATATCTTTAAACCAAGTTTTTAATTAGTGTGTTGCTTGGAGCAGTTCAGAGTATTATTTTTTTCTCTTCCTGTTCTTCTTCCCCATCCCACCCCAATCTCTTTTTGTTCTGAAAGCAGCGCTCCTAGGGTTGTAACTTATGCTCTTTTTGCATGCAACATTTCGATGAGAAGGTTATTATAGGGGACATCTCCATTCAGGTGCTTGTAGTAGAGGTATTCTTCAGCCTGCATGCTAATTGCCCGGATTTCCGGTAGTCCAAGTAGTAGCTGCCCGAATTTCTCTGCTTGCTGTGGGTAGTTGCAAAGTGTGTAGTCCATCAGAGCTGAGTTGACTTGTTCCTGAACACCTTCAACCAGCTGGAAGTTCTCGAGGTTTTTGACATCTGCATTTAAAAAACAAACACAGCAACATTTCAGTGGCATTTTAATTCCTGTTTACTAAAGTAGCGTGTTCAATTAGTGGGTGCGTTTTCCTCTTGACACAAAGCATACTTTATATGCTGCTGAATATTCAGGAAGCTCCACTCACCAAGCTTCCTGGGAAAATGATCACAAAAGAGCTTTAGAAGCATGTCTTGTTGAAATTCCGCATATACCGCAAATCAATTAGACACCAATGGATTTTAAGCAAGGTCAACTCTTTTCATATCTTACAAAAGGAAAGGTTTGAGGATTCCTAAAGTAGAGGGATCATAATATATTGCTAGGAAATGAGTCCCCAGAGGAAGACCTATCTTAACCCAGTATATTACACAATTCATATAATTCTGTATTAATTTTTCTGACCCAAGGTGAAATCTGTGTCCAGGGTATGATGTAGTTAATTCTAATAAAAAGTGACAGGGTTCTTGTTTCTGTTTGACATTTTCTAAATGATTCTGAAAGCCTTTGACTTGTCTTGCCTATGCTAATGAACCATCTGGTACACTCCAGTGACTGCCAACGGAATAGTTGCTAGTAGGAACTCTCTAAAATATATAACTCAGTGACTAATGATCTTTATCAAATGAAAGCCTTGTCCTTTAGGCAGAATACAAGCCAGGATGGGTGGTGCCCTTTAACCCGAATGTGGTTTCTAAAGTCCGATTTTTTTTAATTCCCTTTCTTCTTCTGATCCTGGGTCAGTTGTCAGGAGAAGTGGGACACCGATAATTCATTCTGCCTAACTCCAATCATCCAGTTGTTTTAAGACATCTGCCCCAGAGGTGCTTATAAATAATGAATAAGAGAGAAACACCGAATCAAACAGACAGACTGACATACAAATACATACACAGGTAATGGGCAAGACAAAATGGAATGCTGGAATTTCTCTCCGGAGTGTATGTTAACGGTACAACTTTGACCCAATGTGAATATAGAAGCCCCTGAAAAAACATAGATGTGTGTCTGTGTTTACATAAACCTCTGCTAGCAGATGCAGATACCCCTTACTTTTTATTTTCTAAAGGGACAAAAATAAATAAAGATACTGAGGAAAACAACCTAATGCTAAGAGTAAACAGTTACAGAATAAGTCATAGCCAATATTTTGGGCACTTTCTACAGTCTATACCTAAACGGATCTGCAAGAAGTTGGCCTTACATTTATTTACTGAAATGTGTTCAAGACAATTTCAGTGTTTGCATTTAGGCCACATTGCATTAAACATTCTCCTTTCCCTAAGTCTCTGACCCAAATTCAGAGCAGCGAATCTACAGAGAGACAGGCAGGGAAGATGAGAGTTGGATACTACATCTATTTCAAAGTGACATGAGAAACACAAAAATACTGGAACAGTATTAGTGGGCTACACAGACAATGCTGTACTATACGAACTCTTCATCTTCGTGTGGCATTTGAGTTGGCAGCCAAGTTGTGTCCATTCGACATTCTCTGTATGGAGCACTTCATAGTGAAGCACAATGAAGCATTGTAAAATTATTTTATTTTGTTTGTGTATCTATTTTCAAGACAGGGTCTCGTTATGTAGTTCAGGCTGGCCTTGAAGAACTCAAGACAATCCTCATCTCAGCCTCCTGAGTGCTGAAATTACAGGTGTGTGCCACCACGCACAGTGTTAAGTGATAATTAACTTTAAAATGTATAAATATGGATATGGGTCTACAGATATACAGGGCTCAAAATTATAATATGTAAACATGCAAAACACCTTCAATACATCAAGTCTCTAAAGATAAAATAATGAATGACTGAAACCCTTTTGCCATCACTCCTTGTTTGGAGCGTTCTCTGTACCCTTTATCATATCCATCATTCTCCTTTCAAACCTCAGTCTTTTGCTTGTAAGATTTTACTGCATGAAAAGTTACAGGTCAGTAATTTAGAGGGAAATGAGTATTTGTCTCAATGAATGAAAAATAATGAAAATTTCATGGTGTTTTTGGTTTTTTTTTTTTTTTTTTTTTTTTTGGTAATTGTGCAAAAAATGAGAAAAAAAAAAAAACCTCAAAGCCAGAATTTTAATGTGAAAAAATTTTTGCTCTAATCATTAGTTTTAGAGGCATTGTTAGCTTAGTGTATGTGCAGAGTCCACTTCCCACATCTTTCCTCAAATATCTTCTATTTTGATCATTAATCCCCCTTTAATCAATTGTAGCTCATTTAAAATAAATTCCTACAACTTAATGAGAGAAAAAAAATCTATCTATGTTGTACCTCAGTACAAAAAACAATCTGTGTGAGTCCTGTTAAAGTGATTTAAAGATAACTATAAAAATCTGAAAGAGTATTATTTTATGCCACAGCAAAAGAGTTTCACAAGAAAAAATCCTAACAATAGTCATAGAGATTAATAGAAGGATGTAGAGATGTGGACAGTATAAAATGTAAGACAAATAATAGCTTTTCTAGAAAGTTGTTTTTGAGACTTTCTCTTTTTTTTGATTAATGCATTCTTTGAGAACTAAATTTGTCACGTTCTATGATGAATTATGCCACTTTATTAAAGTTATTTGAAAAGAACCCGGCCAATAAGCATAAAACAAAGGCTAGGTAGACCACTGTACTAGTGACAACGATGCTGAGATTTAAGCTACAAGGTTGGGAGGTGGGCGCCCCGCAATGCAGAAGACGAGGAGCTTTTGGTTAGCTGTGGGAAGCTTTGCGGCTCATTGTTCTCTGCACTTTCTATCTGGTGCAGGGTCTCACTACACAGATCGGACCTGTGATCCTCCTGCCTCGGCCTCCCCAGCCCTAGGATTACAGGTGTACGCCAGCACACACTGGCTGGCTCCTGCTCAGCGGCCTTGCGGGCTGGGCAGGCACGGTGTGTGCATTGAACCCTGGTCCCTGTGCTTGCCAAAGCAGGCACTTTGTCCACTGAGCTATCTCGCTAGCCCCAGAAGCTTTTTTAGAAAGCACTATATATAAGATATATCTTCTTGAAATAAAACATTTTAAAGATATTTTCCTTAAAGATGCTGCACAGTGAAAGCACCCCAAGAGTGAGTCCTGCTAGCCAATCCAAGGAATGGTGTCTTCATTTACATGTTTGCAGATGAGTCTTTTCTGGGTTAGTTAGTGTGGGTAGGGAGGGAGGGGTGCCTGCCTCCCACGAGGGCTGGACTCTGTCCCTGGGTTCCTAATCACCCAGGGCTCTGGGGCTCGCAGGCAAACCTTGGTTTTACAATCTAAATACCATCTTACAAAGAGTGTTCACAAGGCCCTAAGGGGGTGGAGAGGTGCCAAAGGCAGATGACTGCCTCGAGAGATCCCAGTGTGTTCTCCTAACATGCAAGCAGTTAATTCTTACATAAATTTAAACTCTTTCATGAGTACCCCCTTCATACTCCCCCACAAACCAGGAATTGAACTCAGGTCCTTGCACTTGCCAGGGAAGCGTTTATTCCACTGAGCCATCTTCCCGGCCCCATTTCATGAAATTCTGGATATGACATCAATTTAATTACAAATAATAAAAAAAGAAAGAAATTTAGGACCTTAACCCTTTTTTCCTGGAGTGTCCTACCTTCAAATCAAGCCCTATGCTCAGCAATGAATGAGAGGTAGCTGGCATACTTGAAAAGTCTTAATTCATCTGTAGAGGAGTCCGGAACACCAAACTTTCTCAGATGAGTTGACATGAAGTTACTCCAGGAAAGAAAATCTGGACAAATTCATGACATGTTCTGGAGTTCTCAGAAATGTTTGAGACTTGCGGCTGGGTCCCACATGGAACAGCATCCCGCCTCACACACCTGGATTCTAGCAACAGACACGGAGCCGGAGGGCCCTAGGTTGCTATGTGGCTGAAATTCCCACCAGTTCTGTAGCTTTAATACTAGATTCCCAAATCACCTGTTTCTGGTACTCTGTGTACCCCTTTGAAAAGTAGGTAAGTGTCATTCTAATACAACTGAAAATACTACTTAAAGAACTCTATCATTATAAATTCTGGGTTGGAAATTGTATGTAAACAGACAGAGGCATCCCCGGCCCTTCCTCTATAGTTTTTAAATTTTGATGGCTGGCGAGAATGTTTTGTGCTTTCCCTCTAAGTATTAATCTCTTATCATCTATTCTACTTTATTCACTCAGGGACTAATTACCAACTTTTTATATGAAACAGCATTAGATAAGCTCACAGTGGGGTGCTCAGATTTTTTCTATCCTTATTGGAAAGTAAACCCTTAGGTCTTCTTGAATACATTAGAGTTCAGCCCTCTCAGTGCTAAACAGCATTCAGGCTCCCTCTGAAGATGCGGATTTTTATCTCTGCTTCCCTGGTCCCTGCAGCCCCAAACCTTCCCGTTCTCTGCACTTCTCCAGAGTGGATCCTCTGCCGAGCACACGGGCTGCGGGTGCTATGAACAGTGCTTCACTGTGAACTGGGGGGAAGCTTACATTCGCTTTTATAAGACACAAAGGTAGGAGCTTTTGCAAGGATGACGGTATCATAGCTTGCTCTCTGAAGGCCTTTTCTTTGGACATAGAAAAGGAGAAAAATTAATTTTTTGTAAGAAATTTTTAAAATTATTCTTTACAGGGATCAAATTATTCTTTACATGAATAATGTATATAAATAATTCTGTGAGAACTTTCAAAGGTTGAAGAGCAGCATGCTAGTTCTTCTGAGATGAACAAAGTACACTTAATAAATGAGGCTATTCTTGCTGGTGAGTTTCAGGATGAGATTCTACTCCCACGTCCCAGTAAAACATGAAACTCAAGATTTTAATTCACCTGTACAGATCCTATAATAAGGTGCAAAATAGGTATAGGTGTGGACTTCTTAATCCAAGAGCTATTTTTGCCAATTAGAACATACAATTGTCTTCATATACAAACAAATAACAACAACATGCAAGGCTTGGCAGGGGCTGTACATACATGCACATTCACACACATATATGAAGCATATGAACTCTTCATGTGCAGATA